GACAGGACGAGGAGACGGAGGGACGGGGAACACAATGAGAGATGATCAGGAAGGCAGGACGGAGAGGGCAGGCAGGGAGGCAGGATCAAGGAGGCCCCTCTGACTCCCTTCTTGTCTCCTTCGTCTGTCCCTCTTCCTGTCTCCTTGCTCCCTTCGTGGTCCCCTCCTGCTCCCTCCTTCCTGTCACCTGCGGCCCCTCCGGCCGCCGCCCGTCGCCCCTCTGGGCTCCCTCAGGCTCTCTTTTGTCCCCTGTCCGTTCCTGTCTGGTCTCCCCTGTCTGCTCCTCCTCCCTTCGTCCCGCCTGTATCTGCTCCTCGTCCCTCTGTTCCTCTTCCGTTCACTCCTGGCCCCTTCGTGTCGCCTGTGGGTGTTTCCTCTGTGTCTCCCTTCTCTGTCTGCCTGTCTGCGCTTCCTGTCTTGTGTCGGGTTTTGTTCTGGCTTTTGCCCCTGTGCCTGTTTTGTGTCTCTGTCTTGTTACCGGTCCCCCGTTAAAGTTCTGCTTTTGTTTTTCAGCTCCTGCCCCTCGCCTCGTCCGTCGCCTCCCCTTGGGTGCGCGCCTTTGGAGGGGGGTTATGTCACGATCAGCTCCGAACGATCCTCGTGTGTGCCACGCCCCCTCATTACCTCATGTCGACTCCTGATTGTTCCCACCTATGTCTAGTTAATTCCAACCTGTCCTGTGTATATTAGTCCGCGTCTCCCACTATCCCCCAGATCAGTCATTGTAGTGTTATGTGCTGTACCCTACCGTGTGCCTCTGTCTACCCTAAATAAACCCCGTCTGTCCGTATGTATGGCTCTGCTTGCCTGCTTCTCTGCTCGCCCGCTTGCCTACGTGACAGATCATAACACTCCTCATGTTGTTGTGGGGTTTCCTCTGGATTTTCTGGTTTCTCCCCACAGCCCAAAAATATGCTAAGGTAAACCGGAGTTCCAAATTACCCAAAGGTATGTGTGTGTGCATGTGCACCCCCTACGATGGGTTGGCACCCTGTGTATCTGTGGTGCAGAAAATGGGTGAATAGATGGAAAGAATATACAAAATAGGGTCAGTAAGGAGGCTGAAGTCCTTTCAAGGCAGTTATCCTCCAAGATTCCTGCATACATCCACAGCTGGCTTTCCCTCTTCCTCCTCCAGCACCTTCACCCCAGTACAGGCTGCAAGCTGCAATGGGGTAGACAATCCTGCCCCGTAATTGGGGCAGTTAGCGCCCATCAGCAACTGGTGGCCCTCATTGTGGTGATCATGAGAAAACCACGGCTCAAAGCAGATTGCTAAGAGGAGGAGTGCTGACTAACATCACTGCTGCTGACTGTATTGAGAAAATGAGAATATGAGTCTTCTGATTTGTTACTGCAGCTACATGGGGTTTTCGTTGATAGGGCGTTTCTGTGTGTGATTGGTGGGTGGGGGTGTGTCCTCTCTGAGGGGCAGGATGATACAAAGAGACTCAATCTGAAAGCTCAGAGATGAAGGTCGGGGTTTCAGATTTGCTCTGAGGAGAGTTGGTTTGTCCTGATGAAGGTGGAGGTCTGCG